AAATGACCTTGCCTTCATACAATGACCTCAGAGAAAACATAGCATATCAAATGACCTTGACCTTAAAGTCGGGGTATACATTGAATGTCAAAACGATCTCAACATTACTACTCGAGTTTGAAACAAAACTATTAGAGAACAATGACCTTAACCTTAGTCCAGTACTACTTCATCAGATGTACAAGAGATCGATTTCCACAGCGAAAATTTCAGCATCAAGTTACTGCCAAAAACCACTAAGGTTTTATTTACTCATCATTAAATCACCATTTTCAATTTGATTTTTGGGAACTATAATATTTAAGACAGTAAGAAGAACGTCATAATCAACGACAAATTTGTGAATTATGTGTGTTGTTTTGTCCCATTTATAACACATGGGCTCATAATTAACAGTAGTATTTGTAATGTTCAGATTTAGATAATAATAATTCATTACAGTATCTAACAAATTTGCTAACATTTGAAAGTGACAAGTAAAAATAATTATAACCAATATACAATTTGTTTCTAGATATTACAAATACTTCTGTTTGTGGGTAATTTTTTTGTGTCCCATGTAATCATGGGCTCATAATATTGAGTATTTCTACCAAAACACCAATGTCATACATCAATATGAAAGGCAAAAAAAAAAAATAATAGAAGTAAATTTAAGTTAACACAGCTACAAAAGGGGGATAATTTTAAAACATGAACATTTTTTTTAATTTCAATTCATATTGGAATTAGACCTTATGTTTCAGATCCAGTTTCAGCACTTTCAGCTTAAACTGACAAGCAGAAGGAAAATCAAAAATTTTGGACTTAAAGCTGCATGCCTCCAGATATAGACAATCAACTCGAGAAAAATGTATTTAATTTTTCAGAAATGTAAAATGGTAATAATTTGCATGTGTGATTAATGAGTGACCCCGCAGTATTTATCACCAATTTTCTATTGAATGACTTTATCGCTATTTTAGCATATTTTGACCTCTTTTTGATTGTAAGTGGAAAACAACTTTCTTCGTTTACTTCACAATATACTTTTAAATACATTTTCGAAATTTTTTATGAAAAAAAAGTAGGAATCTGGAGGCATGCTGCTTTAATTTAATAATTATTTTTTATCAAGAAAAATATTGGTGTTTTCGTAGAAGATTAAGCTATATAAACCACTGTAATACACATGTCACTGCAGCAAAATTTATTGTTTTCAAATAAGCTGCACATGATGTATATACATGTATAAACGATGTATACTTAACATGTATACAACAAATATGGGTCAACATTAAGTGGACCAAAGAGTTTTCTCCCTTTCATTATAAGTATGCATTATTTCTCAAGATACAAGTCATGTACAATTTATTCCCCTCAATTTTAATTTCAGCCTGTCGCCTAGACAACCAAACTCTTGAATTGAAAATATCCTTGGAAGGAAATATGTACATCCCACATATACTTCTCATCAAACAAAAATGCCAAAAATAATTCTCCCCACCCCTATCCCAAAAGCAGACAGAATCAAGCCTAATGTTTTAATCTATAACCATACCAAAAAATATTTTTACTCAAAGCATAACCAAAATTATTTCATTTTGAGGACTAGGTTTTCTTTTTACATTTTAGCCTTAGAAGAAGTTAGCACAGCAAGAACTATATTAATCAGTATCAGCTTTTGAATACTATACTTTTTACAAAAACATGATATTTTACTTCAACTGGGTTGACTTTGGACCAGTGAACAGAGTAAGCAAGGCTGTAGATAAAATAAAAAAAGTTCAGTTTCACAGAGCTTTTCCAAAGATAACTTCAGTTTGATGGTGGCAACAATTTCAAGGTTATTCACAGGTTATTGAACAGCTCCAAAACGTCGGGTGATGATTTCTTGTTCCCTGTTCACAAACACTGTTATGGCACGCTATAGAAGGCAACTTTCACCAACTGTTAAACCAGGACGCCTGACCTGCCACAACTCTTTGCTGAAAAAACACTCAGAAACACATATTTTTGCATATCATAATACAGTAGAACTTCTATGAGTCGAACTTCGATTAGCCGATTTTCTCGATGTGTCGAAGAAAAATGAAAGTCCCGACTTTTCCCCCTATATTTTCCTTATAAAAACCTATTTATGAGTCGAGATTTTATGTGTCGAATTTTTCGATGTGTCGAAGTTTTTTCGTGGTCCGTATAAAGTTAATCTAGTGCAATTTACCACAAATAAGTCGAAGTCGTTCAATCATTTTGACACCTTCGATCTCGAGACATTTTTCACACCTTATCTGGCTGCGAAGACGATTTCCAATCAACTTGTGTGACAGGTGTTGATTACTCAGTCGTGTGTACAAACAGCCTTTGTTTGGGATAAAATGTGTGATAAAATACTTTAATTGTTTCTATTTTAATTGCCGTAGTGGTATTTGAAAGTAAACAGTAAGAACTACTTTCATTTGAAAACATCCTTGACCCGGTGTCGCGTGAGAATAACAAGCGAAATATTTACTATAAGCCGGTTTAGTTATCGCCCTTTCGTATTGTTACGCCTTTTGTAACTCTGTTGTATACGTCAACGGGTAGTCCAAATAATTAGCCGGGAAAACATTATTTAACATGCTATATTTCTTATTGTAAGATGTAAATATCAGATTAATGATGGAAAAACATGAAAATGGTTTCGTTAAACATCTTATAATTAGGACTAGTCACGGGTCGAAATTTTGTCATGGAATTGAGAGCGATTCATGAGTCGAAGTCCCGATGTGTCGAAGTCTTTACGCAAGTCCCTTCAACTTCGACTTACCGAAGTTCTACTGTATATATATTTATCAACAGTAATTTAGCAATTCATTTTGCTAGGTCCGATTTCACATCAACATTTTATTGAAGGGTTGATGATATGGCAACTTTTCCAGCTTGATGCCTTACTGCATGTTATTTGGTACAAGATCTGGCATGTTGACGAAACCACCAATCTTCTGAGTTATCAATTACTGTACGCGGCAGTTTATAAATTCAACACATCAAGCTAAATGCTACATTTACACAAAATACAGACAATGTCATGATGAACTTTTTGATGTTGATAATACGCAATCTGAATTATTTTCCTGCATGTTAAAAACAGTAAATATGCAACGCCTCAAGTATTAAGCAAATCAAAGTCTTTCATTTAATATGACAATGTAATGCCGTAATATGGCATGATTTTGAAGATAATCATCTCTTATTAAAAACACTTGGCATAAAAAGTTGTTACTCAAGATACATAAGGAAGTTACAACACTTTCGCACAAGACCCTAAATAAATTTTAAAATACAGTCTCAAAATTATAATTTACGATCATTTTAACTTTACACAACTATATCCGAATAAAATTAATACTTTACCATATCTATACATTACCGTGTTGTTTTAAAGGAAACAAGACATCTAAACACTCGTAGTCAGTCAGCCCAGCACCAAACACTCTGAAACAAAATTCTAAACCTTCCCTGCTTACAACAGGTATAAAAGACGGGACCTAAAAATTACATGTTAACAGTATGGGACAAAATCAAATTCCGCTACATTTCTTATCAACAAAATCATAAAATCATGGACATATACTCGTATTTCTTGATAATTTCTTTAAACCAAAACAGAATCACTAACAATCATCTGTTAATAAACTTTTATACATTACGCAAGTTGTATTAGGTAATTTGTCTTGAATAGACTATGTCCATTTAATTATGATTGAAAAATTTCAAAATTTAGAAAGGCGAGTACCTATGATTTGCTAATACTGAGCACTTGAGGGAAGGGTTCTTTTCTTTATTTTTTTAAAAATTTTAAAATTTTCAACAAGAGCGATCAGTAATCACATGTGTCGCCTCATGATGGCCAATTTCATGTTTGGACAAATTTTGTGACAGACGGACAGACAGACGGACAGTGCACAACTAGACTTGGTACTGATCATTCCTGTAAAGTTTGGATAAAATTGCACCAGTAGTTTATGAGGAGTAGTCCGGACAAGCTTTTGCGTATCTGGCAACACACAGAAAACAAGAGCGATCAGTAATCACATGTGTCGCCTCATGAAGGCAAATTTCATGTTGGGACAAATTTTGTGACAGACAGACGGACAGTGCACAACTAGACTTGGTACTGATCATTCCTGTAAAGTTTGGATAAAATTGCACCAGTAGTTTATGAGTAGTAGTCCGGACAAGCTTTTGCGTATCTGGCAACACACAGAAAAAAACACCTTTTTATCAAAGGGCCATAACTCGGCCAAAAATCATTCAACCGGAAAACCCGTGCAATATGCGCAAGGACTTGAGCTACAGATCAATCCTGTAAAGTTTCATTGAAGTTGCATGAGTGGTATAAGAGAAGTAGTCCGGACAAACTTTAAAATTAAAAATTATTAAAGGGCCATAACTCTGACAAAAATCATTGAACCCGAAAATGCTGACAATATGCACAACTAGACTTGGTACTGATCATTCCTGTAAAGTTTGGATGGAATTGCACCAGTAGTTTATGAGAATTAGTCCGGACAAGCTTTTGTGTATCTGGCAACACACAGAAAAAGAAACCTTTTTATCAAAGGGCCATAACTCGGCCAAAAATCATTCAACCGGAAAACCCGTGCAATATGCGCAAGGACTTGAGCTACAGATCAATCCTGTAAAGTTTCATTGAAAATGCATTAGTGGTATAAGAGAAGTAGTCCGGACAAACTTTAAAATTAAAAATTATAAAAGGGCCATAACTCTGACAAAAATCATTGAACCGGAAAATGCTGACAATCAATATGCACAACTAGACTTGGTACTGATCATTCCTGTAAAGTTTGGATGAAATTGCACCAGTAGTTTATGAGGAGTAGTCCGGACAAGTTTTGTGACGGACAGACGGACAGACAGACAGACAGACAACGGAGAAGTGATCCCTATATGTCGCCACTACTCCGTAGAGGCGACACAAAAAGCAAACACAATGAAATTCGTTTTAAAAAAATTACCATTCTTGCAATCACTTCTTTACTTTTCAATGTTGATTAAAAGTTGATGCTTTAGAAATAACACATCACATACTGAAAATAGAAAGAAATAAAACATTTACTTATATGCATCACAATAAGTTTGTGCTACAATAAATGTTCATACTATTAACTAACTAATAATATATACATAATTGTGTAAAGGCTTGAAATCCTTATACATAATTTTTGTTCAAAAGCAATTTTATTTCTTAGGCTCTTAATTTGGCTAAATGATGTTGTGTGATCAAAAACAATAATTAGACTTTTGAATGTGTTATGACATTGAATGTAAACTTGGTCCAATCAAAGCATGGACATTACGGCTATATTGAAAATTATGTGACAGTGTCATATTATTTTATTTTTCTGAATACCAGTTGTAGAAATTGACTTTTATCTATTACAATACCACTCTAAGACTTGATTCACATGTGCAGATGTGTCTTTATGTTTAGATACAAAGGCCATAGTATAATAACTGATACAGGAAACATGGTCACAAAATACGCCCATCACCATAGCTTTCAAGGAGATGTGGGCGATAAGAAGTGTGGCAATTAAGTTGGTCACTATACATATTTTCGCATTTTTATCTGAAATTTTACCTCCATACGTGACCTTGTAAACATTCGGGTCAAGTTATATTTGAATCCCGCTCCATAGAAGCGGTTTTCAATTACATGTAGCTCTAAGTTTGACATTGAGTTCTTGACCTTATCAAACTTTGAAATAAGTTTTTGTAGTTATTTTTTTTAAATACTACCTATTAAATTAAGCATTAGCCATTACCTATTTCTGAAAACATACAAAACATTTATGATTATCATTTAATACCATCCTTAGAGAGAATGTATAATATTTAAAGTAACCTACTACACTACCTTCCTATACATTGTCTAAATTATAATGCTCAAATCATTTCATAAATAAGTTATTACTAAAACATCTCTCTTGCTAGAGATCATGACCTTTAGACTGTCTCCCACCAATTGAATCCTTTTTTAGTACTAATAATGTGTTGTAACACCACAAATGCTCCCGCATGCAGCCAAATTTTAAATGTTAAAAAAAATAATATTTAGTTCCAAATTTGTTTGCACAAACCATTTTTCATTCTAAGTTCAAGGCCCTGAAACTATTAAATGTTTAACTCAAACCATTTTATACAAAGTTCAAGGCACTGAAACTATTCAGTGTTAATCTTTTGCAAATTGCATATTTGAGTCAAAAGAAAATTTCTTATTTTCTCTTAATTAAATGACAACTCTTTAAAAAATCATCATACCAAAACCAAATTCGAACTTGACTTAAATTTTCTTGTTAAATACCGGCACATGTGATTCAACCGTATGCGCACATTTTTACAAAAGTAAGTATGCGGAAACTGAAAATTTCAGAGTTTTTCAAACATTCAAGATGCAGCTTTGTCAAAAATCATCAAACCATGACCAAATTCAAACTTGACCTGCTTATTCCTATGATGTATCTATATGTCAAATTTGAGTTGAATGTGTACTACTGTTTCAGAGACAATTTATGGAAACTGAATTTTTTATTTCTTCCGAAGTTTAAGGTGCATAACTCTGCCAAAAATCATTAAACCATTAACAAATTTTAACTTTACCTGCGTAATCCTTTGACTTATCCATCATGTCAAATAATTTGAGTTTATTGTGTACAACTGTTGGGGAGACAATGAACGGAACCTGAATATTTCTTTCTCTTTTTTCAGAGTCAAAGGTGCATAACTCTGCCAAAAATTATCGAACCATGACGAAATTCGAACTTGACCTGGGCATTCCTTTGATGTATCATGTCACATTTAAGTTGAATGTGTTCAACTGTTGGGGAGATCATGAAAGTAAACTGAACATATCTTCAAGGGGCATAACTCTGTCAAAAATCATCGAACTATGACCAAATTCAAACTTTGTCTGCATTTTCCTATAATATATCCATATATGTCAAATTTGAGTTGAATATGTGCAACTGTTGCCAAGATAGTGAACAGAAACTGATTATGACGGAATGACGGGACACCAATGTCCATAACACTATATACCCCAGCCATTTTATAGCAGGGGGCCCCGGGCATAAAAATTGCAAAACCTGTAAACATGTACTAGAGTTGATTCTCTTTCATTTTTTACATTTTGTAACTCATGTGCTGGACTATTTTATAGTAAGGGAAGAAAAGCCATCACCTGGGGCAGGGCAAATTTTGACCCCAAAGCTATAATAATTTGAACAAGAATTTGTAACAGTTACCAACATCTCCCGCCTAAAGAAAGTATTACGATATAGCACAAAATTGTGCTAGTTCAAAAGACTGAGATATGGATCTTGACTTTCAGATTTTGATCAATGCTAGATCTGCACAAGTAACAATAAATTCATTAAAGAAATTCAATGATTAAATGAAATAACTCCCCTGTATGTATCAATATAAATACATTTGTATAGTTGTTATCGCTAGTTCAAAGCCACAAAATGTGAAAAATTCAAAATCAGTACAGGATATGACCTGTTAAAGGGCATATTTCGTGTTCAGTCATCAATCAAGGTATGTTGGCAATTCACCAATGACATTTATTTGCATGGGCCTCACTTGGCATCATACCCGGTAACAGACTACATGTATTTTAGGCTATGACCTCCAAGTGTGACCTTGACCTTTGAGGTAGGGGTCTGGGTGTTGCGCACAACACATCGTCTTATTTTTGTGAACATCATTTGTGCAAAGTAATTTTAAAATCCCTTGATTTTTCAAGAAGTTATGGACCAGACACAAAATATACCCTATAACAGACTATGTTAATATTTGCCGTTCAACTGTGACCTTGAAGGTAGGTGACTGGTTGTTGCGCATGACATATTGTCTCATTTTTGATAGCATTTGTGCCAAGTATTTTCAAAATCCCTTCATGGATAAGAGAGTAATGGACCGAACACAACATATACTCTCAAATAGATAATGCTGACCTTTCATCACCAAGCTTGACCTTGAAGGTAGGGGTCCGGTTTAGCACATGACAAATCATCTTACAACAAACATTTGTGCCAAGTTATTTCAAATTTCATTGATAAATAACAGTTACGAACCGGACACGAAACGGACTGACAGAGCCTATTTCTATATATACGAAAAGGCGGGGGACAATAAAGGTCCACTAGACAATGTTTCATGCTAAATATCTATGCTCTAGCCCTAGTAATTTGAAGAAAAAGAGTCTTTAAATTTTTACATGTAAGGAAAATACTTCACCCCCGAGATGGGGCCAATTTTGACCATAGGGCAATTTACTACATGTATAAACTAAACACGTTTTGACATCAGATGAAGTGGATATTTTATGTAAAAAGTTCTATACACTAGGACTAGGAGGTCACAATATAATTATATAGTGTCTGACAGTAATTAAAAAACTGGCAGCATTCCAATATAAGTTGTTTCCTTTCATTTTAGTTTGTTTCCTTTCATTTTAGTTTTTACTATCTGTGCAATAATGAAAATCAATGACCCACCAAGTCTATGCCAATGTTGACCCCAGGGATATAATTTGAACAATCTTGGTATAGGTTGACTACACAATGTTTCATGACAAATATCTTACCCCTTGCCTATTAGACAATGCCTTATAAATGCATAAAAACTAAGTTCTGTGGTTCTTTAAAGGAAGATTTTTTTACATCTTTTTCTTATAACCATGGCAACCAGATTCCTGCTTGGAAGCAAATTCTTTGAACAACTTTGGAAGCAAGAAGATTTTTTAAGTTCATTACAGGTATATAATCTACAGGCTATAAAAACCTTCATGAATGAATTCTCCGAATTCTGTAGTATAATTAAAGAAGGTATAATTTTATCCTGTTGGCCAAAAGACAATTTTGAAGAGCAAACAAGATTGCATTTGAGAAAAATGCTATGCCACCGCATAAATACCTAAGCTCTAGGCCTTTTGTGTCTTTACAAGAAGGTATTTTAAGTTTTTGAAGCCTTATACCTTCAGACAATATGATTTTTTTGATTTTTTACTATATGTATATATTGAAAATCAATGACCCCGGGGCGGGGGCAATTTTGATCCCATGGTTATAATTTAAACAATCTTGCTAGAGGTTCACTACACAATGTTTCATGCAAAATATCTAACCTCTAGCATTTGTCAATTGCTAGAAGAAATTTTTTTAAAGTTTTTACTATAAGTTTTTACTATATACATATAAGGAAAACCAATGAACCCCGGGGCGGGGCCGATTTTGACTCCAGGGCTATAATTTGAACAATCTGGTTAGAGGTCGACCTCACAATGCCTCATGCAAAATATCTAAGCTCTAGGCCTTTTGGGTCTTTACAAGAAGGTATTTAAAGTTTTTACTATATGTACATATAGTGAAAATCAATGACCCCCGGGGCGGGGCCGATTTAGACCCTAGGGCTATAATTTGAACAATCTTGGTAGAGGTCTACCAGACAATGCCTTATGCAAAATATCTAAGCTCTATGCCTCTTGGGTCTTTACAAGATTTTTTAAATTTATTCTTATAATTCCTTTTGGTTGCCATGGCAACCAGATTTCTGCATGGAATGAAATTCTTTGAACAACTTTGGAAGCCCTTCACCCAAGGATCAATCCTGCCAAGTTTGGTTGAAATTGGACTAGTGGTTTTTCACAAGAAGATTTTTTAAGTTCACTATATTATCTATATAACACACAAACACACACACAGGTGAATCGCTATAATTATGCCACCGCATCGCAGATGCTGCGGTGGCATAAAAATGTTCAAATATATGAATATTTTAAAGTGTCATACTATAAAAATCATAATGATTTTGAAGAGAAATTTTGGAACATTAGTTGAGATGGTAGTTTTTGTGTGCTGCTTTAACCTTTTACCCCCCATGAGCATATAGTGAAAAATGGCCGTTTTCAATGAAAAGCCTCCTGTTACAATATGATAAACAAGATCAACAAGGAAAGGCGGCGCTCAACGAACGCAGTTCAAAATGCTATAAACTATGAAAAATGCTTCAATACTGATGAAACTTGGCACAAATGT